ATATATATATATATATATATATATATATATATATATATATATATATATATATATATAATGTATTCTCTCCGTGTACATGCCGTGTTCATGCAAAGTGTTTGTCATTGTTACTCACCACTTTCTGCTACTTTCCAGCTAATTCTCTGATTCCGCGTTCATAAAATAACTCATCGTTCGAGCCAGTGAAATAATTGATGATTTGACGAATATTTGCAAATACCTAGTATATTCGATCTCTTCGAGTAGACGAAATCACTCAATTGGCACGAGGTGTGCGTCATCGAGGACGAATGAGTAAAGACAACTGGATGACCACGTCTCGTTAATGAGTCCGCAAAGAAAACGACCTGTTCTTACAACGGAAAATAATCGCGAGTATATTTATGCTTCACGGCAATAACGAGCGCAGGATCGACCTCGCCCGCACATTTCCGCAGTCGCTGCGTATTTTCTCGTAACGACGATAAGGAATCTTCGCAACGGTGTACACCGGCGATGCGGCTATTATGTAAGACCTCGTTTTTCCGCGACGCGATATATTTCGATTACGTGCGCAAACTGGAAAATGACGCAGGAATAGTAGGAAGACTGGTCGTGTGTACGCCACGCACGTGCGTCTTACGCGTACGATCACGCTCTGCATTTAATTCGTGCTGTCATAACTCGGGTATCTCTATACATGGTTACTACCTGGCTACCCACACTCATAAATATTACCCAGGCAACCAGAGAATAAATAGTTACAAGTATGCATTCGTTCATTACTCGTTATTGTCAATAACCTGAAAATATCAAATTATTTTATATATTCATTAAATTAACTTTAGCTACAAGTTGCTCATGTGCAGAGGGCGTACAAACGCGAAATAAAATGGCCTTTTTACGGTTCGAGCAGACGTGAAACTTTTCAGTTAATATATTCGGGTAAAATTCTAAAGACGTATATGCGGGTAATACATCAAGAAAAAGAAGTGGTCTAATTATAATTATTTTTTGCTCCAACCATATTTTTTGTAGTAAAGCGATAATAGTAATTTGCATATAAGATTATTATTTCTAACATTATAAGTTATCATTTAACTACTAGTTATTTACTACTTAAATTATCATACTAACTACTATAGATATTATATTATACTATAAGTAACTAAAATAGATAGTATTATTAACATATAAGATTATTATTACAAATATTAATAATATTGATTATATTAATGTTAGTAATATGCTAATAATATTATGTTAGAATTTAATAAAAAAATTATAAATACGAATACCAAACATTTTTCTCTCATTGTTCACCCGAAGGACTCGGATAATTGAAATTAACAGCACTACATTT